AATGTTTAAAATACGACTACAAAGTTGGTTGCTCAACTAACTAAATACAATAAAATTGTTCTTAATTCAGTGTTTATACCTTACCCACTTTTTAAATTATTGCAACCTAAGTATCGTAATTGTCTCTGCGATCAATTGACACTGCAATCACTTGTCGCATGCGACCAAGTGTCTTGCGATCAGTTGTTCGCGATCAATTGTCGCGCGATTAATTGTTTGCGACCTATTGTCGTAGATTTGTGTTTAGTTCCATTCAGTACAAATTGAGTTTTTAAATCCACTGGCACTACTATGGGAACTTTATTCCTATGGTCTGTTAAGACACTAATAACAGCAGCTATAAATTATTATCAATATAAAGCTAATCTCTACCAGTATTCAAGATTGATGCAAAATGTTCGACATGATATAAAGTCACAAACGAGATTTAGCACCAAAGTGAATTCGCAACAATAACGTACACTTGATTTGTCAATTTCTCCTGAATATTTTGACATAAATACCACTTGTTTGTCTCTAAGTTTTGTTTGAGAGAGAAACTAAAAAGCTACGGGATTAAACATCTCCAGTCTTGGCTGTTGAAATTCTTATGACAAAGGTATACATTTAAAAGTAGTTTCAAGAAGCTTAAGTAGTAATGAATTGAAAATGAACGTTGATAAACCAACATAATTATTTTTACATCTCAGTGCCATAAACAAATTGTTTGCATAATTTTAACAATAATACGAGCAAAGTTGTTAATTACTCGAAATTCTGGCAGGTGTTCAGTTTGATTTTATTTTAAAATAGTGTTGTTATTTTTAGAGTTTCAATTTCAAGTTAAGTGGAACTATATTCATTTTGATTCTTTTAAGCTAGTCTTTTCTAAAAAATTTCGGGCAAGATGGTCAGGTTGTCATAGATTAGTGAAAAGCAATGGGAATATGCATTCATGTCAATGTCATTTGCCCGATTTTTTTTTGGAAACGACGGTATATATCTAGGTAGCATTAATGTGTTAAAATCGTTGGTCGTTGAGTGAAATTTAAAATACGGTCCTCGACTTTTTAAAATTTTAAAGAATTCGTATCAGTAAGGTTGATTCCTCTCGAGTTGATAGCAGTAAAGCAACTGATGTCTGTTGGGAATACGAGAAAACTCAGTTCTCTAAATCAATCATAGCATGTCAAATATTCACTGTAAAATTTTACTTTATAATTTTAAAAACCTCACAAATGAGTTAGTAATAATAATTTAAACGTATGATGAATCGCACTAACCTGATAGATTCTAGAATGCGCTATAATTAATGTATGACGAAATATACTAAAATGATTTTATTTCTTATTTGTATTTTATATTGTAAAAGTTGGTTATTTATTATTTATGTATAATCGACAAAAAGTCATTTCTCTTAGATAAAAGAAAAAGTGTTGTTTTATAGCGATTAAAAATCTACAAAAAAGTATTATTCTTAAAGCACTATATTATACATTTTATATGCGTATGATTTCTGAAAGATGTAGGATAACCCTGAATATAACCACTTGTTCTAGGCAATATGCAATCAAAGACAGATTATAATAATCCATAGTTTAGTCCTGTTTTTGTAAGAAACATTCCAATGTTACGAGTACGACAGATTTTTATTTTAGAGTTTTAATGTAGATATGTTTTAACCAATCAGCTTAAACACAATATTCTTATTTATATTTAAAACATAATTTATAATAATTTACAACTTAGTCTAGGTAGCGTGAATTTTAAAATGGCGTCCAGATATCCACAATTTCTTTCTCTTTTTTTTTTAAACTAACGATTTAGCTTACACAAGGAAAATAAAATCACTTGTTTGTATGCATTACGCCTTATGGTAGGTACCTATCTCAGTAAAAAGTATGAGGTTTAGTAGGTATTTAAAAAGTATAAAATACATACAATTTTAAAACTTATTATACTTTAATAACTATAATTTAATCGAATTTGCTCATTTTCTAAACTATACAGGCAAACCTTCCTTCACCTTATATTATCAAAATGTTCATAGTTTAGTTTCCAAATCACATAATTGTTACATCAGTTCCTGTGACTTGTCTTATGATATAATTGCGTTAAGTGAAACATGGTTGAATGATTCTGTTTATAATACTGAGTTGTTTCCATCCCACTATCATGTTGTACGATGTGACAGAAAGTTTTCCACTGTAGGTCGCACCAGGGGTGGTGGAGTTCTTGCTGCTTTCTCTGAACTTATCAATGCTGATGCTGTTGACACTACGGTTTTAACCGAGATGGTTCCACTGATTGATATAATTATTTGCAGATGTTCTGTTGGTAACCTTAAATTCTTACTTATTGTTATCTACATACCTCCGGACATATCGTCTCATGACTTTGAATTGTTTTTTAATGCGCTAGAAACGTTCATACTAAACGGTGAAATCATACTCGTAGGTGACTTTAATGTGCCCCATTTTATACAGGAGGGCTTTAACTGCCCTAAAACCTACACTCTAAAACAATTTTGTGATACTGGTCAACTTGTACAGAGTAATTCAATTCTTAATTTTAATGGAAACATGTTGGATTTAATTTTTTCAGACCTTAACATTGACATCTCAGTTAAACACTCTGATCCGCCTCTCCTACATGAAGATCCTCATCATCCGGGACTACACATGACTTTACAATTTCCTCTTCGCCTACATACCGATCAGTTTCCTTCTGCAGCAAACTCTTGTTACAACTGGAGGAAAGTTGACCTTTTTAAGCTCTATAATGATCTTCATAACATCAATTGGTCAGTTCTTAAACAAGCCGTTGATGTAAACGTAGCGGTGGACACCTTTTATTCTAAGCTCTATATGACCATGGATTTGACTGCTCCTAAGTATCGGCCTGCTTCTTCGAAATTTCCTCCTTGGATATCTCCAAAGATTAGACGTGATATTAGAACTAAAGACTTTCTAAGACGTAAATGGAAGGAAACAAATAACCCAGAATACTATAACGAATTTAGAAGGCTCAGAGCAAGAATTAAAATTCAAATTTCCAATGGTTATCGATCTTACGTAAGTCGTGTAGAACAAAACGTCAAATCAGACCCATCACAGTTATGGAGTTTTCTGCATCTCAAACAGGGCACATCCAGAATTCCTACCCAACTAATAGACAATGCCAACAATAATTTGGTATCCTTTGTATTTATGTCATCATGCTTTAATTGAACGAATTCATAAGAAATTTCTGAAGTTTCTCTCCTTCAAGTTGGATGGCATTTATCCCCAAAGGGGTACAGATATGGGTGGTCTTATACAACGTCATAAAATGTCGTCACTTTTAATGCGGCGGGATAAGTTATGTGCAAATTTTTTACTTAAACTTGTTAATAATAAGATTGATTGCGCCGATTTACTTTTTTGTGTCAATTTTAACATACCGCGAATCTCATCTAGGCACGCAACTACTTTCCGAACCACAAGAGCTCGCACCAACGTCCTCCGCCGTGCTCCAGTTACAACAATGTGCCGTTGCGCCGACAACCTCTTTGAAGACGTGTTTATTTTGAAATAATGTAATTTTTACTCCTTTTTCGTATCCTCATCTAATTTTCTTTTCTTTTATTGCCATTATTAATGTTTATTTGATTGCATAATTATAAATTAGTTAGTTAGTTTTTGTCCTCTAATTAGGTTCATTATGTTAACCTGTTGGACAAATAAATATTATTATTATTATTATTATTAAACAAAAAATAACCCTTAATATGTGCCGGACCCAATAGTTTGGTTTCATTAAAACTGTTCTTTTTGTGAGTTTTCGTTATTATATATTTATTGTTGTTGTTTTTACGTTCGTCTATCCCTAGACTGTAGACTTAATGACTTAGTATAGTTTCCTCAAACCTATACGGCGTTTATGGCTTTGACGTTTAAAGTACTTTACAGCCGACCCTTAATAAAGCTTAGTAAATGTAAACTATGGCACGTGCCAGGGACGGCCGAGACGCGAAGGACCGGACTAAGAGTAATTTTGTTTCTTCCGTACCTTAATTATTTAATCATTATTCTGCACATTTGAAAATATTATTTAGATAATGAAAGCAAAAAACATAAAATCTTTAATAAGTACGATCGCAATCATAGAAAACTGCGCAAAAGGCGCAGTTGTCGGTAAATGCAAAACTCAGTCCTGCCCTGTGCTTTTACCAGAAAAGGTCTTTTCAGGTAGGTATCGGTGAGCGGATTTAAGACATCCGGTTGTGACGGCCTATTGAATTATAATGGGAGTCAAATTGGTGTGAAGTCATAAACGCCAAATATGTTTGAGGGAACTATAAGTGTCCCATTTCACAAATTCTCACCTAAAGGAAACGAGTATGAACTAAGTTTTAGATGTGTGTATAGCTGGTTGCATAATCAAATCATGTAGTTTCAATAATAAAAACATTTCATACGGTACTTGCTTTTCGTTAACAAATATGAAATATGTGATAAGAATTTGAATTATTTACACCAACAATTAAACTATGTTATCTTTAACAAGATGTTGTGATTAAAATCGTTTCCCGTTTGTTGTTTAGGATAAAGGAAACTGATCCTATCAGTTTTTAATTGAATTGATTTAGTAGACATTTAAAAATTTATTTTTTAACTGTAGACAGCTTTTAACTGTTGATATGTCAATTAACACAAAGTAACCGTGTAAAGAGCAGGTAAAATATTGAGTAATAAATTTAAAATTTAAAGGAGTTGTAGCAAATACAGACATGCACACATCAAAACAATTTTTTGTCACTGTTTGTTTTTGCGACTTTTTGTATTACAGATGAGATAGTTTTCAAGGGTTTTTACGTTTTATTGTAAAACTTGATTCCCCAAGATAATTTGTTAATCTCTGGTAAAAAGAAACTAATCTAAACACAAAATGTAAGTTTAACTTTGTACTTGTGTAGTGACAACTGAATGTGAATGACGAAACATTTGAGGACCTCGAAAACAGCTGATTGTCATCACATGCAACCGAAGTGGCTTGCGTCTTGCGTGTACGTCGTCGTAACTTTTAAAATTTGCAATTCATTTTCGTACGCAAGTATCTTGAATCTAGTTTGTTTTGTAACATAAATAACGAAGTTTTATAATTTTCGGTTATTGTTGTTATTTTTCTGACTATTTGGCAAGGTTGTAATAAATATTTTCCAAACAAATTCGAGGAAATATTATCTGCGCACGCTAGAAAGTGCGGCATTGGTCGTGCTTTAGCCTTACAAGTGGAGGGGGAATAGAAACAACATGGAATCGACAACTGTCTAAATCAGTTACTTGTAGACGCGTGTATCGGTTGTGTTAAGTTCGATTTTTCAATTTTTCTCAATTAGTTACTACCTCATGTTTTTTTAATTTTACCTGAAACTATCTTCCTTATATGTAAGAAATTTATAAACTAAGAGACAAAGTGGTTTTTAAACGATGTGTTAAGTTTGAAGTTTGGACATAACCTGACAAATTTCATCAAGCAAAAGATTGTGATAGTGATATTGTATACATACAAAAGAGTTTCCTACAATCTGTGAGATTCCGAAAAGGCACGGTTAGGATTGTGAAACGGTACATGTGAATCAAATTTACTGTTACGACCTAGTTTTGTGATAGCACCAAGCACAAGTGAAGTTAAACAGCATTGAACACCAGGAAAGTTTTCGCGAATGTTTTTACATCGAAAAGACACAGTCCAGTCACGCTTTTCGTAAATATGTATTTCGTGTAATTAAGTCCAAGAACTGAATCTGTTGACACTCAAAATGCGTTCCCATAAAAAAACCAAAGAAAGTGGCTTTTTCGAAGGTGATTCCTCTGACACAGATGGTTGTCTCAACATGGGTAAAAGGACTTGTACTACTTCGAGTGATTGCCCTAAAAAAATGAAATACAAGGACGAGGAATTTGAAAACCCAGTTAGGTCTCCCCACGAAAAAGGTAAAGGCATTTTGAACATCTATTTATGCGCTATGAAATAAATACGAAATATATATATGATGGGGTAAAAGTATATTTTCGATATCAATGGTTGAAATAGCTCATTGTATCCCGATTGTTGCTTATAATAACTCACTTGCCATATGTTTTATTGATTTGAATTGATTGAATAGACTATTAAAAAGTTCAAATGAGTATGTATGTTTCAGTTTTTGAAATGTAAAGCAAATATCTTCGATCACTTTGTCCCTTTTTACTTAGAGTTACGGATTTTCTTTGTGAGGAACACATAAAGCCAACATTTACGAACAATGGATTATTTCAAAGGTATAAACCAACATGTTTTGTTTATGCTTTGTTGCTGAACATTATAAACATGAGTAAAACAGCTTTGGATGTACAAATAAATAAGTCAGTATTAACGTGGTAATGAGGTTGGCATTTTGTGAAATTTGCAAATATCAAGGAAAATGTACGGTTTTTTTGTGCAAAACATTATCATTTTCATGTATATTTCATATTTAACTATCAATTTTTGGCGAAACTTATTGTTTTTTGTTGCACGTCGACCTTTTATGCATTTTAGCAATCGACCTGCTTTTCGCTTTCTGCAGGACATTACAGGACGTCATACAACCCTTGTAGACGTGATTTACATATATGCAAATTAGTTTTGAAATAAATATTTCGTTTAACATTGTATGCATCCCTAAGCACACCATAATTACCGTAAATGAATTATAGCATAAAAGAGACCGTAACCTTTAAATACATACTGGTGAATCAAAATAAGATAGCAATTAAAATGCCATCCAGATAAGTCCTGACAACAAGAAATATTTACAATCCGTCTAGGAAATTAGTAGAAAAGGACTCAAATCAACAGCTGCAGTTATGATGTTTGGAAGTGACTTCACTAATCTCTATCGTCTTGAGGGCTATTACCAGCCCGGATAACCGCTCACTGTAATAAACGGTCGTATACACGAATGTTTCTTTACCTGCGAGGGAATCGGTGCCGTACTCGAAAAATTTGTAAACCTCTTTAAACGCAGTCTTGATGGACATATTTACAGCGGGGCTAAACAATAAGTCCTTCTAAGCGCATTACCCGCAGTGAAGTCACCTCCAAATATCAGTAGCTGGGCTTTATGACTGCAAAGAATTTCAAACCTAAAACTCTTCCGAAATGAACCTCCACATTTCGAGCAAACTAGCAAATAGGGATTACTGGTCACCGCAGGGTATCTGTTACTTAAAGCTAGAAGTATTAATCTGGATTTAAATATTTCCCGTCTGTATTATTTAATATTTAGGCAAATTTAATAATACAGTCAACAGCAAGCGGTGTCTACCTGTAAATCGGGGAATATACCCCGGAGTCATTATTTAAGTTTTAAGTGATCGTATGATTTAAAATTATTTTGGCTAAATTACAGATATCTTATTTTATAAAGTTGTGTAATTTATTATTTATTTATGGCAATAGGTAAAAATGTTGAATTTTGAAAATTTTTGAGCCGTAGTGTCAGTACCAGTTTGAGTATAAAAAGAACAGGAAAAGGACAAGATATTGAAGTATTAATTCGCTGTTTGTGTGAAGCGAATTGGAACAGGCTGTGAAAACACAAAAATTGATGTCATTGTTGCAAAGATCGCTGTTCACTTAAGTGATGTCATGCAGTCAAAGCGATCACAGTTTCTTGTCACCTTTGTTTTTGGTTAGTGTCCCCATATTTTGTTCTAATTAATTTTACTTTCTATCTCACGGTATGTGTTAGCACTAATACGTTAAATAGTAAAAACATTCAGCTAAGCCATAATAGGTCAATAGAAGGGCTAGTTTTAATCACCGAATTTTTGTCAAAACTAGCTAGTTTTAGAAATTCTAAAAATATTAATATCAGTTTAGTATTTACTGTTGTTTTTTTGAGTTCAAGACTTCATTACTACGGACAAAGCTTACCTACATTTGCAATTCATATGTTGTGTGAATATGTTGTACGCGAGCGCACTTAACTTAAATCAAGATGGATTTAAGTTACAAGCATAGTTGACCAGAAATTAAGCGCGATTTGCGTTAAAATTTGCAAATATCAAATTCACACATTAATTTAAACGATCTTTATGTATTAAATAATATAAGAAGAACTTAATGGCCTTTGTCTGGGTTAGAAATATAAAATGTGGATTCCGTTCCCTCTTTTTGTACAAATCGTAGGAAGAATAATGAAAATTGGCCTTATAATTTAAGTAGTAAAGTAGTAATTTAATAAAGACTGTCTACATTATAACCAACCATATTGGTACGATCTTGGGTAAAATTTTGACAAACTATTTGTTTTCTTATCATAGCGCAACTTACAAAATATGAAAATGTAAATGTTTCACTTCGGTTTGTCTTTGTCTCTTAATGATTTTATTATACAGATAACCTCCAAAATACTAACCGGACTGAAATTTTCAGTCGTTTAAAATTATTGTAAAAATGGAAAAACACTGCTTTTCAAGATGTTGATGGCATCCAGTCAGAATATACATTTTTTCAAATAAGCGTAGTATGGTTTTTTGCTTGTGGTTTAACATATCACCTGCAATTTCAAGCTACGTAGATGGTATGCCCCAAAAAGAAATGAATTTGAACATTTATTTAGTAGTTCAAGTTCATTTTCTGAGTCCATTCAAAAAGTGAGAACGTCATTGAAACAAATTTTTGAACGATTATAAAAAAAATGTAAACCTATAGAAATTTTATATTCCACATTTTGAGACATTCTGAAGATAAAAAAATAAATAAAATTAATCTTCACGGCAGCTTGTACAGTGCACTAAGATTTAAAATACTCGGTTCACTAGTTTCCGAGATTACCTCTGTCGAATAAATATAGGATATATATACTAAATAGACCCAAAACGGAAACCTAAAGGTTCGTATTCTAAGGGCTGTGAAATGCTAAATAAATTAGACACTTTCACATCAGTCCATACATACACATTTTCATTAGATAGTTTACAAAGTAATTTTTTAATGCACGCGTTAAAAACAACTGGGCAATATAATGCGCACCTCTTTCAAAATACGTTAGATAAATTCATTTTTATTTCATGTAGTAAATGTGATAGAATTAATAAATTTCATCATCGAGTTTAGACGATAGCAGAAAACTGATAACTATTTCATGAACTAAGTTTAATCAAGTTAATTCAGTAGTGTGTAATCAAATTGCATATTGAAGTATATATTCTCTCTTATAGTAATCAATTCTGACACATTTTATAATCTCGCTATTTTAATTTTCTTGATAATTTCCTCACGGACACATACTTCAATTTTTGCAGTGTTTACCAGCTTTTGGTAATGTTTCACTTATTATTGAAGATATCGACTTATGGTGAAAGTAAAATGTAATGAGTCAATGAGGTCCTGATTAGTAGAAGAGTGGCGTTGGCACCCAAACTTTTTATTTAATTTATAAATACAATTTTCTCTTTTTTTAAGATTAAAAGTAAATTGTTGCCATATTATTTGGTGTGCTCTGAAAATAGGACATGCATTTTTTCTTCATTTTTACTTTAGATGGCACTGAAAGTTTCGCAACAGACGCTTTTTAGAATCGATATAAACTGTGTTGCTGTTTTGTTCTTTTTAAGAATTACCACTGTAAGCAATTTCATTCGACTTATTATTTTTTAAAATCTCTTCAAGAAGTTTCAAATAGCTAAATAAATGAATGTTTCACCTAAAACCGAGCTACCTATCCTAGATTATCAAGGAAAACTCCAAATAGATGTATTTATCTGTTAAATTATTGTCCATTATCCTTTATCAGTCACAAAAGTTGGAATATTGTAAGACTACAGCCTTGGGGCAAACGGTCACTAAACCATTGGAACACAAAATTACGGCTATGCTGCCGAAAAGTCACTGACTTTTCAACGTAACAAACCCTATAAAACTTTCAGAGAATTTTTTCGCATCTTTTTTGCAAAATTAAACTTGCGTTAAATGTTGGAATGTCGAAAACTGAGAATTCAGTTAGTCGTTTGCGAAGTTGTAACATTGTTGTTAGGGATGTACGGCATGCAAATGCTGATCCTATTGTTTCTCATGACCTTGACTTATTTGAAAACAATTTTCTGAAATGTAAAATTTTGTAACATGTTTAATAAAATCTTAGGTGAGTTTCCTCTGCGATTTAAAACCTACCGCATTTGTAAATCAAACTGAATAATGCAATAATAATGTGATTAAAATTTTCACAAAAAAAGCATTTTAAAGGTACTGACACACGTTACATTTAATTATACCATAATATTTCTTCTGTGACAATATGCAGCTGTTGTTTTAGTGGTTTATCTCTATAAAAAAGAATAGGGGGGACGGTAAGTCAAAGATAAAACACCCTGTATATATTTAATTGAAACAGCTGAACCATTACACAGGTGAAGACAATTACGCTTACTGATATCGGAAACGAATATCGTGTATAGCATAATTTTCAAATCACAATCATATCTATTTTTTTTTGTTCATGAAAAATGATAAATCATTATATTTACAGTAACATTTTTGATGTTTATTGAAGAACAACTTGATTATGCTCTGCCATCTGTTGCTTGCAAAAATAATCGGTGGTGGTCGGTCACCTATTTGTTTATTAAAGCAAAACCCCAGTAATTCACAATGAAATTGAACAAAATGGGATATTTCGTTCTAACGTACATATTTAGTTACAACAGCATTGACATTCTACAGTGGTCTTGCTAAAAAAATTGTTTGTGTAGTTAACGGTTGAACAGTAGATAAGGTGGTGACTATAGAAAAATCACTTAATTTCATAAATATAAACGAAGAAAACTTGACAAAGAAGTAAACAGTTTAAAGATTAAATTAATATAAAAACATTAACAAATTTGTAGTTGAGATTATCATCAATTACAATAATAAATATAAATATATAACAGATATAAATTGCTAACAATTCTGCTTTGTACAAAAT